GTGGCTCTTTAGTTAGCTTTTGAGAGCACACTAACTTAGTATATTGACATAGCCATTATGTGGATAGAGACTATAGAAACTAGAATTGTGGTAGGTGGCTTACATTTTAGTAGGCTAGCGCAACACTCGCTTTACCTCATATTTATCTAACCGGTTTGTTATGTGTGGTTGTAGAAATTTTTAATAGGCTATTCACCCTCCCTCTAGCCATTAGGACCTTTCAGCGGCCGGGCAAGGAGGGCGGAGGCAGCGACCTTGCCCTCCATCCACCCGAGCACTAGAGCAAGGGAAGGGAGAGGGCGAGCAAGAGAGGAAAAGTAGAGAGAGAGAAAGGGAGTCGGAGGGAAGGAGGGTGTAGGGTGGCGCACGGTGTAGGGCGAGCGAGATGGAGCAGGGCAGCGACGTTCATGGAGCAGAGGGATTACAGAGAGAAGAGGGAGTAGAGGAGATGGGAAGGTAGGTGTGGGTGAGCAGAGCAGGGTGGCGGCGTGACGACGGCTCATGGCCACGGCTCCAACGCGGTGGAGTGCACTGGGCGACTCTGTGGCGGTCTTGAGTTGCGTCGGCACGGGCAAGAAGATTTTTACTGATCGCCATGGCAGGTCCTCTTCTACGAACTTCGGCGGCGGGCGGAGGACACACCTCCTTTGCCGGTCATCGCGGCCCGCTCCCTGCGCGCAGGCTACGCCGTCCACCGTGGGTTGCTGCTCGTGCGGAGTCACGGCGACACGTGGGAAGGCATCCAGCCCCGGTAGCGGCGGTGGCGGTGGCGGACAACGCGGCGGCAGCGGTAGCGACGGCGGCGGTGGCGGCCGAGGCCGATGGGGCGTTGGTCGGGCGCGGCCTGCGGCGGCCTGAGGACGCGGAGGCCACGAGGCAGAGCGCGTCGCCGGCCATCCAGTAGCGGCGGCAGGCGCGACAGAGGAGGCGCGGTTGCCACACGTTGTAGTTGTTTAAGTAGCAGAACTTAGTCTCCTGGCTGCCGCACTGCGGGCACGGCAGCGGCTCGCGGCCGCCGGTGCCCCCGGCGGCCCCGGGTGCCTGCTGCCGAGTTTTCAAACTTGAGGTTCCTCAACCAGACAGTTTTGTAGTTGGAGGTTAAAATTATACCAAAATGATAGTTGAGGGGCTAAAATGACTTAGACCCTGTTCGCTTCACTGAAAAAACAAGCGAAAACACTGTTTCGCTCATTTGTTATGAGAGAAAACACTGTTCTGACTAAAAAACAAAGCTGAAAAAGATGGATTATAAAAGAAACAAACATGGCCTTAATCCTATTATATTCGACTTGAGAGGAAACAGCAACACCGTCGATCGCTAAATCTAACGGCCTCAATTCGTTTCAATGACGTGGCCAACCTGTGAGCGTGCCAACGCTTGCCATTCTACCTTTAGATACGGGCTTGGTAGCGCTCGGACTTCTGGACGGATAGGGCGTCCGGACGTCCACGCCTACTGTGATTTTTCGTGCCGTTTTGCACGTCCACATGGGGTCCGCGTCGTCCTGAACGTCACCAGCATCCAGAAGAGGAGGATACGATGGATGCCCAGCCAGCTTCGGGAGGAGGATGAGACACTGAGGCGAGGCAGCAGAAGGCGAGGAGATACAACACCCGATGTACTTTTAAAACATTTAGATGCAGCACTTGCAACATACGTCTGATGACTGATGAAACACTTGAAACATGCATCTGAAACACTTGCAAAAACATCTGAAACCATTGCAAAACATACGCAACATGTAAATAAAACACTTGCAAACATATGTGTGAAACATATGAAATATCCAGATAAACACACTTGCAACATACGTCTAAAAAAATACAAGAAACATTGGGAACAAAAGCTTGCAACATACGTGTACAACGATTGCAACATATGCAACATCTCGATCTACTTTTGCAACACCTATGTGAAACACTTACAACATACATCTGAAACACTTGAAACATACGCTCGCAACTTGCGCGTTCAAGTACAACATCTACTTGATGCTTGGACGAAAATGGAGGCTCGTCCATGCGAAGATCGTCGCCGGAGCGGAGCAGAAGTCGCCGGTGTGGAGCTCGTCGGCGGCACAGACCTCGGTAGGAGCGGCGATAGGCGGATGGAGCGCAGCCGCAACAGGAGGCGGGAGTATGGGTGAGGGCGGCGCGGGGTGGGCGTGATCCGTCGCACGAGCAGGGGCGCGCAGCACGGGTTACGGGAGGAAGGGCAGGATCGGTCTCATGAGTAGGGGCGTGCAGCGCGCAGAAGCCGCAGAGGTAGCGGACGATGGGGACGGGGGTGGCGCAGGTGGACGACGCGGGCGGGGTCCGTCGGTCCGGACCGAAGAGGAGCGTTACCGCTTTAGATAGAGTGGCGATGCGTGTCCGTATTGGTGTGGCGAGCCGAATGGCCTAACTAGCCCACCGTGGAGCCTGACACAACGGGAATGCAATGGGCCGGACCGGCCACCAAGATAGCAGGCAGGCTCTTCCTCGCGAAACGTATGGAATGGCCCGGTCCGCAGTGCCGGACTTGACATTTGTTCCCTAATAATAATGGTGCTCTTCGTTCGAGCAACGCCAGAGCAAAGCAGTTGATCGGAAGAGAGAGAGAAAGAGAGCAAAGCAGTCGTTATATAGTTCAAAAGGAAAAAAATCAAAGCAGTATACACTATAAAAAGGAAGGAAAACAGAACAAAGCATTCATTATATGGTTTTAAAAGAAAAAACAGAGCAAATTATATATATATATATATATATATATATATATATATATATATATATATATATATATATATATATATAGAGAGAGAGAGAGAGAGAGAGAGAGAGAGAGAGAGAGAGAGAGAGAGAAAAAAAGGAAAAAACAGAGCAAACCAGTCATTATATAGTTTAAAAAAAACAGACACAGTGCAATGTAGTTGCCAATAAGACTTCACAGACATCAGAATCGAATCATACTAGTAGCTATCCTAATCGGGTGATCCTCCAACCCTAGCTTCATTTAGAACTGTTGCAAAACGGGCTGAAAACCCAAGAATAGATATTATGCTTCAACAGCCTTATAAAACAAGAACATATTATTACCATCTGACGAAACTATTTGGTCAGCCCAAATTGGCACAAACACAAAGGCCGTGCAGAATAAATTGGGCAAAACCACATATTGTTCCCTTGCGGGACAAAATTAGATGCACAGCAAGATCTGACCAGTCAACTGGATTACTATCACGTCAACAGCAAGTGATTCCATATTGGTTACAAGGTTGCAGTGTGAAATTGGGTCCACGCCTCATTTGTGTCCCCATAGTAATAACACATAAATAAACACAGATGTCGATTGCATCCCTTAATAATAATGTAATACCTAAATAGTGTATCAAGAACGAGATACAACTTCATTGCTGCATCAGTCGTGCAGACGGCATCTGCATTTCTGTGCTGGATCTAAAACAGTGACGAGAAACTAAAACTATGGGGCGTTTGGTATGGCTCCCGGGACAGCTTCCGGAGCAGTTTTTGTGCTCCGAGTGCCAAACGGGTCAAAAGGAACCAGCTCCGACGAAAGAGTTGTGTGATTTGCGCTCTCACACGCCAGGCACGTCGGTTGGAGCCAAAAAAATCGAGCTTCCACCGGCTCCTTGTTAGGAGCGCGTGGGCCCATGGCGTATTTGCCCATGGATGCCCCTGCCTTCTTCCATGCGCGCGGGCATGGAGCAACGTCGGCCTAGGGAGGAGCAGAGGCGGCGTGGCGTTGGCCTTCGTGGCCACGGGCGCGTGCGCCACGCTGGCCGTGCGTGCTCGAGCTCCCCTGGGCAGCTGCACTTGCTCGGGCTACTCCGGCGAGCTGCCGCTCGTGGCTCGGTCCTCGGTCTCTTGCGGCGCGGGGAGGCGAAGGCGTGGGGAAGAGGAACAAGAGGCCACAGGACAGATTAACGAGAGGATAAGGCAGGTGTCAGACGGGTCTACGTGCATTGCCGCATTGGTGATAAGGTAGAGAGAGAATAAATAAAGAGAAATAAAAGGAGAGAAAAAAGGAAAAAGAAGGGCATTGTGGACATTTTCTCCTTTTCAACAACCGGGAGAAGCTATTTTGCCAAACGGTCCAAAAATCTGTTTCAGCTCCTCAAATGAATCTGCTCCCCTGGTAAAACTACAACTGAAAGTGTTTTGGCTGGAACCGAAGCTCTACCAAACGGGCCCTATGTACAACGCGGCGAAAAGCTGCCATGATACAAGGCCACGCTCACGGTCTTCACAGTGGAAGATTATTTGTGGCCTAAATAGCTGCAGTGTTGTTAGCAGCAATGTTCAAAAAGGCGACGCTAGGCGGTCGCCTAGGCGCGCTTACGCGCTGTGGGACGGGGTACCGCCTCGCCTAGGGGGGTAGGCGAGTACCTAGGCGGATGCCCAACTGTTGCCGGCGAAAGGCGGCCAGATCCGCCAAGGCGGGGACGTGTCGGGGCAGCGCGGAGTTCAAGAAACGATGGGGGAGGAGCTAAGATGAAGTAACGACGACTAATGGGGGAAGATGCAGCGTTAGGCGGTGGCGGCGGGCAGATCCGCCAAAGCAGGGACGAGTGGGGGCGGCGCGGACGTCAAGCGGTGGTGGGGGAAGGAGGTAATGTCGACGGGGGCAGCGACGACCGATGGGGAAGGAGGCAACGTCAGGGCGTCGGGCGATGGCGTCGGTGTGGGCGAGCGACGGGCGAGCGCGAGCAGAAGCTGGGAGGGAGAGAGACAGGAATAGAAGCTTGGAGGGGAGGGGATAAGAATTGAACCAGACTTGGGAGACTTGGGCCGTTATTGGGCCTTCTCTTCTTTCTCCACCACTGATGTGCTAATTTTTCTTTCTTTTAAGTATTTATGCATGTATTAGCTACCGCCTAGGAAAACGCCTAGGTTCCTCTAGGCCCGCCTAGGTGCTAGGCTATGGTCACCGCCTAGAGAGCGCCTAGCGCCTTCTTGAACTTTGGTTAGCAGCACCATTAAGCACACAGCAGCTGCTGAAGTCACTCATTCACCTGAGGCCCGACCTCCGCGGGCACTTCAGGCTCAGGTGCTTTCCTCAGCCCCAACCTCTGCAGGTGCTTCAGGTGCTTCTCTGCAGCTGCCCTGTCCGCAGCTTCTCGCTTCTGTGCCCTCTTCGCTCGCCTTCCAGCGACATCCTTGGATGGACCAGCAGAAGCATCAGTATTCACTGGCCTCGCCTCTTTCCTGCCTCCTCTGATGTATCCATTGTCACCCCATCTCCTGTTACCAATACGAATGCTTGGGGACCTGCTCATGTAATAAGATTCCTCGTCAAGATCATCTTCGGCGTCATCGTATTGGTATTGCTGGTGGAAGAACTCTTCTTCCAGAGCCTCTTCGTGAGCCTCTACGATCAGAGGTTCAAACCAAGCGGCCCTCAGGAGAAGGCAAACGCTCTCCTCAAACAGGTAGTCATGTAGGCTGAAGAAAAGAAACAGGCATTAAGCTCACATTCTACCTGAAACATTTTAGCCCCCCACATTTCAGATGAACACAAGGGGTTACCAGCCGTCAAGAGAGCGGTGCACGCTGAGGAATTCGAATGGATGCTTGCACTGTGGGCACAGAGGGTTTTGCTTGTAGGATGCCCACCTCAAAATACAGGTTACACTGCATTCACAAAACAGATTTCAAATGTAATGAACAGTCAGCTTTTAGTAAGAGGATCAGTGTCAGATATAAAAGGGTGAACACTGTAGGATCAATGCCACATCAATTATATTTTACCAAGCAGTAACACTTGAAAACAGAAAATTATAGCAACCGGAAAACAGGAGGTATCGCCAGACGTTAGTCCTTTAGCATCAGCTGTAATGGATACATCGAAGGTACTTGCTGCTTGCTACTTTAGTAGGCCCTGTTTGGTTCACAGGAAAAACGTAGGAAAAACAGAGGAATGCACCAAAGTTTTTTTTACTGTAGCAGCGTTTGGAATACGGGAACGAGCACCAAAGTTTCCTCCGGAACGGCGAAGAAGCCTGCACTTTTGGAGGAACGAAAGAATCCACTCTCAGCTCATGGAAATTTTCCTGCAGCGCTAGGGCGTGTGTGGCTGCGTGCCCGAGCACTAATCGAGTTGTCATTCAGAGCTACAGTTCTTCATATGCTACTTGTGGGGCTCCCTTCCATGCTTTATTTGATATGTACGTACCAGATTTGTAAAAAGGAAAAATATTTATTATTAATTTTAATTTAAAGCATTGAGTTTCCAGCTAAATCTAAAATTCCTATATCAGTTATGTTCTTGTGTTCCAAACACCTGTTCCTATAAAAATTCCTATGTTTTTCAATACTCTGTTTTACAGCTTCGTTCCTTTCCTATTCCTCTGTTTTCTCTTATTCCTGTATTTTTTGTTCCTTTGTTCCAAACAGGCCCTACACATGTGTAGGCACAAAGTCAAGCTCTATAATTCAATCTAGAGCTGAAAGCCACAAGGGTTGGTGAAACAACCATTGAGTGCACGGCGTGGTTGGTCGGGCAAAGGGCAAGATGCACATGGCAACTGTGCTAAAGAATAAGTTGAAGTCAGTCACTTGTACAAGGGAACACATGATAGTGTTCCAGAATAATCTCACTGGACCGGCGCCGCATCTATTCCATAGGTCTAAGATGACAGAATCAAACTGCATGTGTTAACGCAATTAAGAAAAATCAGCTTGTGAATCAAAAGGTCAGGGCGTCAGGGCAGCCCGGTAAGTGTGTAAGGTGTTGAATTAGATTTGTGGAGCTACATGTCAGCAAGACAACGAAAACGAACACAGCAAACGGCCTAGAAAAGGGATCGCAATTACAGTATCAAGCAAAGCGCTGCTAATTTGGGGGAAGGTGCGAAATAGTGCGCCAAATCTAGGGATTAGATTGCTATTAGAGGTGGGGAATAACAAACAACCTAACAGCAATTCCACCGCGCAACTAAGTATATACCAGTAAATAATCTGGAGGAAGGGGGAGAGGTGGGGAAATTAGCAACGGACCAGTAGGCGTGGTCGCAGCCCTTGACGAGGGCCGTCTCCTGGAGCGCTATCCTGTCGAGGCAGATGGCGCACACCCCGCAATCCTCCGCCGCCGCCCGGTCGCCGCCGCCTGGAGCCGCCGCTACCTAACACACGAGGAAAGGGAAATCAAACGAGGTGAGATCGAGCGCCGCACCGCGCGAGCAGATCGGGCGGATCCAGGGCCGACCGGCCTCCCGGGGAGGGGAACTCACCTCGCCGAGGGAGACGCAGGTGCGGACGGCGACCGGACCCTCGGAGGAGGACGGCGCGGCGGCGGCGGCCATGGCGGTGGGGATCGGGGGCAGGGAGGCGACCGGGCGAGAGCTTCCGGGGTCGGTTGGGTCGGTCGGTGAAGGGAAGGGAGTGGAGGCTTTTACACGTATACCATTAAAAAAAGTATGTAATTACACATAAGTCATTAAAAAAATTGACCGCACATGAGTGTCATCATTTTCGAACTTCTCTGCTCTCCGAGTCATTTCGTTGGTGGTCTGTTCGTTTTTCACCGTTACATGTAGGCCCGGTCAGTATAAAGATAAAAAATACCCTTCTCTCGTCCACATCGCTCGCCAGCGCTAGCCTCGGCATCCCTAACGAGGCCGGGGCCGAGCTCGCCGACGCTCGTGCAGCACTTGACGCGGTACATCGTGAGCGCATGGAGCGGGAGGCGGACTCGAGGTGGTGTGGCATGGACCAACGCCGGCTGATGAGGTCGCGACGACGGCGGGTTTCGGCTCCGGCTTAGCGGTAGCGGCGAGGCTCACTGTGTCTGCAGCCGTCGCGGCCAATGGCGCCGGCGTCCCACTATAGGCCGAGCTGCTCCCGACCGCGTGGCCACAGGTCGCGCGCGCGGCGCCAGCGATGGGTGCACGCGGCTCGGGGAGCACGCGCGGGCGCGCGCGCCATGGCGGCTGGAGCTTGTGGGGCGGGCGCAGAGGGGACAATGCGCGCCGAGGTGTCGCGCGACGACCGGCCATGGGACGCGTCGGCGGCGGCGGCACACGACGGGTGCTCGTCTGAGCTCGGCCATCGTTAGTCTCACCCCTGGCCACGCACGGGAGCGGAGGTGCCGGTCCGACCACCTCCGGCTGCTGGGGCGCCCGGCAGGAGCAGCACAGGAGGTGAAGGGCTCCACTCGGCGGAGCTCGGTGACCGCCTCGGCGCCGCTGCTCCGCGCGGGCACGGGGGAGCTCGGCCCCGGCCGCCGCGGGCGCGCACGGCCTCGGCCGCACGCACAAGAAGAGAGATCGAGTTTGAGAGAGAGAGAGGATAGGGATGAGAGGGGTATTATGAACGTTTTGACTGACCGGGCCCACATGTAACGGTGAAAAACGAACATACCACCGACGGAATGCCTTGAAGAGCAAAGAAGTTCAGAACGATGATACTCGTGTGTGGTTAATTTTTTAATGACTTGTACGTAATTACGAACTTTTTTAATAACATATGCAGCAGCCGGGTGATGCGATGATCTACGCGCCGACGAGTGACGACGAAGCCCGAGCAACTGAGCAAGCAATGCGACCGGATGGGATCAGATCAGGTCCGTGCTGGGGTTGACGAACTCCTCTGTGTCACCAGGGTACTTGGCTCCCAAGTTTGCTACCAGCAGGTGATGCGTGGCAAGTTTGACTTTCCCTGATTTTTGGTATGTTCGTTCTATATGCTGCGAAAGCGGAAAAGGTCATCTTAGAGATGGTTCAAAGCACAAAAATTAGGTTTGCAGGATCAGGATGGTTCTCAATCTATCTCTTAAGTTTTTTTCCCTTTCGGTAAACATCTGATAAGGGTTTTAAACCACAAAAAATGATATATAACCATATAAATTATGAGGAAAAAAACTTAGAGATGGGTCGAGACACTACAAACCCAAAGGAAATATATACCGCTCGTGAAAATATATGTCGAGGCTGCAAGAAATTAGAATAAAAATATAGAAAATTGGGGAAATATCTAGAAAATATTGTAAACTACAAAAATATTCGGATCAATGTATAAACTTGTCGGTGCGAAAAGTGACCAACAAGTAAATATTTGTCGTTTTGCCATACGTTGTGATCGAATGTGGCCTAGCACTCAATGACACAGGGTTTATACTGGTTCAGGCAACGTGCCCTACGTCCAGTTTGAATCGGTCGGTGACTTTATTCCTGAGGCCAGGTGCTCGAAGTTTGTTGTGGGGTTACAAACGAGTGGGAGTAAGATGTGGGGTGTTAGAGGTCCGGTTGGACTCTGGACCGAAGACCCGAGAGTGACGGGAGCTCATACGTGCGCTAAGTATTAGAACGTATGCTCTATATAACTTTAGAGTTCTAGAACTATGAAGTTGTTAGAGTGCTCAGAATATCTAAAGCTAGCAGAGAGAGTTGGAATTATCCATCTGTCGTCCGTCCTTTCTAGGAGAGAGCGCACCCCCTTTTATAGGTGAATGGAATGGCCTTACAAGTGAGAGAGAGAGAGTGAGAGTGTGCGTGCCCTAGTCTTATTGCCCACGCCATCGGGTACAAGACGGTTTGTCGGCGTCCACAATACTGTTGATGCCTAGATGCACGTGGTAGGCTCCATCGTGTTCTTCTGGTATGGCAAATGTCGGCGCCTACCATACTGTAGGACAAATGTCGACGCCCACAACACTGTTCATGTTCTGATATGTCTGAAAGGTCGCAAAGTACCCCTCTGGCATGGCCTGACAGTACTGTCCTGTAGGTGTGCAGGGTACGGTCTTCGATATTATGGTTGACTTGAGCGCCTTACTTTATCTGCTCCGCCTGGTTTCTTGGGTCCTCACCGAGCGGGTGTTTTCGGCCGGTCGTTCCTAGTTGGCTCCGACCGCGCCGGTCGAAGAAGAGCCATAAGCAGAGGTTCGGTGTATTTCCGGTCGGAGAAGCGGGTCAGAGTCGGAAGCGAGCGTCGTCCCGTCCTTGGCCAGGCCTTCCGGTCAGAGAAGCGGGTCAGAGTCAGAAGCGAGCGTCGTCCCCTCCTTGGCCAGGCCTTCCAGTCGGAGTTGGAAGCGAGCGTCACCCCCTCCTTGGCCAGACCTTCCGGTCGGAGACGCGGGTCGGAGTCGGAAGCGAGCGTCGTCCCCCCCTTGGCCAGGCCTTTCGGTCGGAGACTGGATCGCTCTTCCGGCCTGTCATTAGGTATCTGGGCCGGCACAGGAGTTGTGCGTCGTTCGCAATGCCGTCTGCTGGGCCGAGCTTTTTGCTGGGAAGCGGGCTCATCAGGGTCCCCGGGTTTATGAACCTGACAAAACTTGTTTTCAAAAAATTTCACAACAAATATGAGATAAAAACCAGCAGGAATGCAACATCCATTCCTGATGGGTACTTTCACCATTTTTTCCTAGAGCTAAATCAAAACTTTGGAAGTTTATAAATATATTTTCATGATTTTAATATTTTATTTTTGGGTTCCTTGTGTATCACTTTCCCATGGGAGACACTCATGGAATACAAAGGAAGTTGTACCCGGATAGTTTACATAGGCTTGGCTTGGTTGTAACCTGAATATTTGGAGAGTTGTTCACTCACCACGGCACCATGACTTATCAAAAGTAGTATGTATTGGGATTGGGGGAGATGAATCCCCGACCTGGCCAGAGAACATTAGTAGGTCTGCGGATCACTCTTTTTCTATGTTTTTTCAAGAAATAAGTTTCCCCCCCATTCATTTAGGAAATAATAAGGTGGCTAGGTGCTTTTATAAGAAATGTATTGTGGTATGTTAAGGTAGTCCATGTGAACAGCATGTGTGCTATTTGTAGCTTTATATCCGTGATATGCAGTTTTCATTGATACAGACAGCTCACCCTATCTCTAGTTTTTTTTTCCCCTGAATTTTTTAGAACCCTACAGATATATCCTTTCTTGGTTTAGAAACCTTATATCAAATGATTCCAATTGTTTTAAAGAAAAATCAAGGATGATAAAACCACTGTAAACTGGCGCAGGGAGAGAACTTAAATGGTTTTGAAAGTCAAGCGTGGCAACTTGCACGATTTCAGAGTTTGAATCGAAAACCTGAACTACGGCGATAGTTGAATGTTCAAGATGCAAAAACTGACTTTTCGCACGCGAAAATGGATCCTTCCCGGTAAGGAAAGCCCCGGCGAATCGCTCGCTGTTCTTGCTGGGCCAAACCGGCCCATTAAAAATTCAGCCCATTCCACGGGATTCAAGCACGTCGTGCTGTACCCCAGACGATGACTTGTGCAGCTCACACGTGTGACGTGTGGCACTGGCACCACGCACGAGCGAGGCACAGCCACAAGCTTTGCGTTGAGTACATGCCATTCGTGTGGACAGTGACGAGGAGCAGTGGACAGAGCAGCCTTGTACAAATACACAGAGTCTGTCTCTTATATAACCATGTGTTTTATACAATTTCAACACATGATTATTTTTGTACCATAAAATTAAGATCTAACAACCTCCATCATTCTTCTACCTCTAGCCTTCTTATAACTTTAGACAATCACAAGACCACATATCTACATATATCATAGAAAATAATTTTTCTAAATACAGAGGGTCATGGGTTGTCGCGTTGTGGTCCCCTGGCCGGTGCTGGTGCTGCGCTGCTGGTGCACTGCTGGTGTCGCGTCATGGGTCGTCGCGTCGCGTTATGGGTCGTTCATCATAAGAAAGCGCACTGCCTGACGGACGCAGATAAACTAAGGCAACGATCTGGTGGACTAAAATTCATATATTTTTTTTGTTGCTAAAACACATATGTTGTATAGCATTTGTGAATATGTATTGGGCGTGCATGCGTGCGTCCACGGATTCACAGTAACTCTTATCTCTTGTCTTGCCGACGGTCTTGGATCGGCATGTGGCCTCCCTCGCTTTGTTTGGACCCTTCCTGTTCCTGCTCGAAGGGAATCTATCTGCCATTGCCAAAGTTTCAGAATGCTATATTTATTTTACGCTTTGTTTAGTTGGACCCTAAAGTCCAAAAAGTTGCTATAGTATCTGTCACATCGAATGTTTGCGGTCCGTGCATGGAGTATTAAATGTAGACGAAAATAAAAACTAATTGCACAGTTTGGTGGGAAATTACGAGGCGAACATTTTAAGCCTAATTAGTCAATGTTTAAACACTATTTGTCAAATAAAAACGAACGTGCTACAGTAACCCCAAAATCCAAATTCACCCAACTAAACAAGGGCTCAGATATAAAGGAACAAAGTTCCAGCCAGTGTTTCAGAGTAATAACTATATATCTGTTCGCATTGCAGTTGCAGGAACGCCCCGGAGTAGAGTAGTTTTATATTTTATATTTTTATTTTATTATTAATAATGGTGAACGTTTTACACGAGGTCATGCATGCAATCGTTCCGCTACAATGATGCTCAGTGGAAAGAAAGGACGTGCTTAATTCATGAGTTTATCATGTTCAGGTAACGCAACGACGAGAGAGACTGAGATCTAGTACTGCTGTACACATACTCATATAATAATTGGACGCACTGTAGTGCATGCATGCAAGACGGTCCCCCACAACCATCGGACACGTACAGATGTCGATCCTACGCTGCACGCACGCGAGATGAAGCCACAAGAATCAGTCGGCTCGACTCAGAATCGGTTTCGGGGCATGTGCCAATATGAGCCTGCTGCCTGCAAGCCGGCCTCTCGCTCCCATTCCCATGTCCCAGCTGCCTTCTTTTTTTAATTTTCGCCTAGCTCTATCTATAAAGAGGCCAAGCCCGTCGCTCACGAGTCACGACCACTGCACGCCAATATGGTCGTCCTCCTCCAGCAAAAGATCAGCTATAGCTAGAGCCTAGAGGAACTAGTACTACTACATTCCGTTACAGCGTCTTGCGACGTTTGGCAAATCGAGTTCGTTGCAGCTGCAGGTACCGCCGTCTAGGTTAGTTGGTAACTACTAGCACTACCAAGCTAGGCCGGGCCGCCCGACTATGTCGCGCCACCGGCGGCAGCCATCCCGCGCGCTCCCTCTCGACTTCAACGTCGACGACGACGAGGAGGGGCCACCAGCGGCAGCCAAGGACGGCGCCACGTCGGTCGACGGGAGCCAGCAGAACCCCCGTTCCGGTGGCAGCGGGGATGCCGGCGGCGGGGCTAGCAAAGGGCAGGAAGGGTAGACGACGACGAAGAAGCCGACGCCAGCCACTGGAAGCCGTACTCCGTCGGATGGGACGACCAGCGGCAACAAGCCACGCGACGACGACGGTACCCGTAGTGGTCGTTAGAGTCCAACACGGCGGCAGCTAGCTAGCTAGCATTCGTCTGCACGTACGTACGGGTACGGCGCTATGTTTTGATCGATCCATCATTCCTATGTGTGTTCTAGCTAGCTCCATCCGGTTGTGTATGCAACTTAAATCTTATATATATGCTCGATCGTCATCGATCTGCTGGTTATGTTGTTAGTGTCATCACGGTGGTTTCATTCGTTTGAAAAAACGGCTGTTTTGTTTGAATGTAAGCAACTTAATTAATTCCCTTCGCCTTGAAGGCTATCGGCTTTGGTCGAGCAACTGATAAAGATACATTTCTTCACGGTACCTGCCTACATTAGTCTTCCTCTTTTCAAGGAAAGCGAGTGTCAGACCATATGTAGTTCTCTTTTGTTAGACCAGTTCTCGTTTTTATGCAATTATGCAAAATGACTTTACTCATTTTGATGGAGATTTGTAGCATCATTCTAGTAAATACAAATTGAGATCATAGAAACATGAGCTTGTGATATATAGCTACACTTAATTCTAGACTGGTTGATGCTAGAACTATAAATAAGGGACCACGATCTCTTATTTGTTTATCCCAAAACCAAGGGGATCGGAGAGGATTGAGAGTGATTAAATCCCTACAAGTTAACCCGCTCGAATCACTTTGATTTTGGAATCAACCGAACAATGCCTGATGGGGGTTTCTTTGGTTTCTTTGCTCAGGCTCGTTTTACCTTGCTGAGTAAGAGGTAATACATTGAAGAGGAGATTTTGCGACCCTTATTATCGGACCTGTTCACAGTTCGTGTAGTAAAGTGATCGCATCTACGTACACACACACACACACATATATATATATATATATATATATATATATATATATATATATATATATATATATATATATATATATATATATATATATATATATATATATATAGAGTATACTCTATAGCTGGCTATAGAATAGTGTCGGATACCATAAGAAGGGGTACTCTAAGCAAGAACCGAAAATATTGCTTAAGGCTTGCAAAAATCAAAGCCAAAGGACAACCACGAGGTCTCGGCAGATTCTCCGACTCGCCTAAGGCTTACGCCGAGGCCTCAAACGAAAGGCCAAAGCCCTCCGCCCCGCCGAGGCCCTCTCGCTGAGGCCCCGCCCCGCAAGGCCTCGGACGGGATACCAATTCTCCGATTCGGCCGAGGCTGGGCTCGGCAACAACCTCGTCACCTCCGTCCCGACCGACTCCTCTGACAAAATGTCACGTCCAGTTAATGTGCCCCACTACTCCCGCAACGTCAGCTGCACGTTGGTGCAGTACAGGCAGAATGACCGACGGGACAGGGGACCGGGCGCAGCAGGGGTTACCTGCCACTGTGCTCATCACTGTGCCCCCTGCTGACACCTGTACTGCCCTGTGCTACCAAACTCCTGCGCCAAGGACAAAGTGGCGTGGAGGGTCAAGTCCGGGTCCCTGTAGTCTCAGAATCAGCATGAAAGACCAACTGTTCGTCCTCCGCCTCGTCCGAGACCCCCCGGCAGGGCCTCGGACGTACTATTCCTTCTCCGCCTCGGCCGAGGCCGGGCTCGTCCCGCATCCTCGTCGCCTCCGCCTCAACCGTCCCTCTAGCGAGCCGTCCCATCCGTTTAAGTGCGCCTGGTCACACCTACTACATCAGTCACGACTGGCAGGGTACAGCAACAGGGGCGATGGGACAGCGGTCAAATCTCCTTTTTACCATCCCCTACTGACGGTGCAGGGGTTACCGTGCCCTGTGGACACACGCTCCGCACTTTTCCACCTGAACCGGGTACGACGCTGACCACCGAGACCCCCGCATTATACACGGGTCACCTCCGAGGCCTCGGCAAAGCAGGCCTCGGCACGATCAGCTACAGCACCCGCTAGGCCTCGGCACTCCACCAAGTCAAGAACCCACAAGGCACGGCATTTCTCCTACAGTGGAGGCCATACTGACTAGACATCAACAAGGACTCCCACGACCTCAACAACCTCAGGCCTGGCCAGCACGGCGCGCCAGTCAAGTACCAATCACCATTCCCAACACCATGCTGCTACAGGACTGAACTACAGTAGGCTCCACGTATAGCTCACTCATGTACTCCTGGCTCCCTCCTTGCGGTTATAAAAGGAAGCAGCCAGGGGATAGCTCTAGGGGGCGGAAAAAACATACGAAAGAACCACGCTCTCACACACGCGCAAGCGACACTCTGTAACACACGCTCTCCCAAGCTGCCTGAGAGCAACGTCTCAAGCAGCATGCACCGTTCCACGCCGAGACCTGGGACTAGCTCCCTCTCACCCAGCTTGTAACCCCCTACCACAAGCACTTCGGTGCAAGGAATACAAGATCGATCTCTCAGACTGGACGTAGGGCGCCAATTGCCTGAACCAGTATAAACCTTGTGTCTTTTTGCATCACCATCCGAGATTAGGGGCACGCCGTTCAAATTCACTGGTTGGTTGAGGACCCCCCGGTCCGAAGCACCGACAGTTGGCGCACCAGGTAGGAGCCTCTGCGTGTTAGCTTGATCGTCCCAATAAGTTCTGGATGGCTGACCCCATACGCCCACTACGTCTCGGCACGGTGATCTGGTTCGGGAGCCTAGAGTTCATATCTCGAGGACGTGAGTATGACCTAGTACTCCTCCCACCCAGAGCCCCTTTGACCGATGCCGGCATCGCGCACCAGTAGCCCAGGCGCAGGCGGCGCCCGGGCCACCGCTCTCGTCGCGCTCGCCAGGCACGGTGCGAGCAGGATCACCCCGACACCACACGGCCTTAGGGCTACGTGCCGCGCTCCGCCGGTATCCCGTGCCTGGCTGTTGGTACAAGGTCCCTAGTTGGGGACCTGTCTGGCCTAAGCTTGAGCAGGGGAAAGACACCGGTGACATGCAGCGACGCCCCGTCGTCAAGTTCCGCACCACCACCACCTGAGGAGCCAACTCCGGCGGAGCAGGGCCCGGCGATGGCCCCGTCTCCATACCCTTTCGGGTTGAGAAATGCCACCGCCGCCTACGCTTCCGCTCACACGGAACCCTCAGGGTGCCACCAACGTTTCGCCCTTGACTTTTCGGCCAGAACCTCGGTTCACACCCACACCGACTCCTCAGAGGAGGACGAGGCATGGGTCGGAGCAGACTTCTCTGGGCTTCACGAGCCTAAGGCTATGCGCCGCTTTTTGGCCGCAAGCGACTACTGCTTCGGCTACTCCGACTCCGATGATGAAGGCACTTACGATCCCACTCGAGAGTGCTTCCACATCGGGCTTGGAATGCCAGGGGCAAGCAATGAGAATGAAGGGGCAGGCAACCGCTCCCCGCTCCGCCAAGGGGCGGGCGACGCCACACCCCCGCTCGTCGAGCTTCGGGCGGCACGGAACGTGAACGCCGCCCTTGAGGAACTTCGACGCCTAGACCTGGAGCAGCTCCATGAGCTCCAGGAAAAGGTCGACCAAGACCGACTCCTGCTGCAGCAGCTCCGAGACACTCTCGAGCAGGAGCAGCGAGGTTGCAGTGATGGCGGAAGGGCCAGGCGGAGGGTCCACGACATGCACCGCCGCATCAACAACGACGAGGGGAGTGAGCAACCCCCAATCTTCAATCGCGCTAGCTAGAACGTCGCGGCAGTGGCAATGCTAGTCTGAGCGATGCCCGAGCCCTCTACCACAGAGGGGCGACGGGTTCGCGGCGAGCTCCGAGACCTTCTCGAGACCGCCACGGTACAGCCGGCCGAAAGCTCCACATCTCGACGGCGTGAGGACACCTCGAAATGGCCCTCGGTGCATGACCGCCTCAGGGCCCCCTCAGTGCACGACCGCCTCAGCGATCGACGCGAGGCGCAAGATAACCACAATGTGGTCAGCAGGCGACGACGCCACGACGACGATGGGCCCGCCCGAGGCTACCACCCGCACCGAGGCGGCCGCTACGACAGTGGCAAAGACCGCAGTCCTTCTCCTGGGCCACCTGGCCCTCGAGTGTTTAGCAAGGCCATCCGTGGCGCCCCATTCCCCGCCCGGTTTCGGCAACCGGCCAACCTCGCAAAGTATAGCGGCAAGACCAACCCCGAGTTGTGGCTGGCCAATTACCGCCTGGCTAGTGGTCTAGAGACGTACTCCAAAAGTACTAGAGGGCTTCTCTATTGGGTCCCAGGGCCGTTCGATTGGCCCTGGGGGCTCGGCGCCTCCCTACGGTGGGATCCCGTTCGGAGAACTCCCTGCCGGTCTTGGACACGACTTAGGGCATCCCGAGCGATCGCTTGCTCGGGCCTCGGCCATGTACGAGCTCGCCCATAGTTGTCCCTGACTCTGTTGTCCTGGGGTGGCTGTCGAAACCCTCTGGGGTCCAGCCTTAGAACCCCTGGACCGTAATGGGCTCGGTGCCCTTTTATCGCGTTTTTTCGAGTCTTTAGGTGCGGGCTTGGGTCGCTGGTCCTTGTCTTGGGTGCAGAAGGAGCCCCCGAGCCTCCGCACGGAGTGAGAGGGCGGTCAGGGGTCCCCCTGACTTTTTTGTTCAACCCTCGCATATCCTTTTCATTCGGACGGAGGGGTTGTTTGTCGAGCCCACTCGTGTACGAACCTAGGCCACTGGGTCTCGGCAAACTTGCAGGAAGAGCCCCCTAGCCTTTGCATGGAGCGAGAGGGCCGTCAGGTGCTCTCCTAGCTTTTTATACGCCCCTCGCGCGTGAGGGTTTGTTTGCTGAGACCCCCTTGGGTGCGAGCCTGGGTCGTGGGGTCTCAGCATATCTACAGGAAGAGCTCCCTAGTCCCTGCCCGGAGCAAGAGGGCCGTCAGGAGTTCCCCTGGCTTTTTGTACGACCCTCGCGCAACCTTTTTGTTGGAAAGGAGGGGTTTGTTTGCCGAGCCCCCTCGAGTGCGAACCTGGGTCG